GTTAAGGGTGCATTTCATTTCATTTCATCTATTTAAAATTTTCTGCTCTTTGATTTCCTTAACCGCCTGTGCTATATTAGGAGAAAATAGTCTTCGCTCTAACAGCATCTGGTAGAGATTTATTTAATATTCCTACTACATCTTATTAATGCATGCTTTAAACAGTCCTCATCTTCTGAATTTTTTTCCTGTGGGGAATTCCATACCTTTCCCCGTTTTTATTGTCTTCTCACAGGCTGCTTTTTGTTTCTACTATATCTCTCTTACGATGGGCTAACCAAAATCCTACGTGTCAATATTGCTTATGCTTCTATAAAGCAATATCCTTGTGCAGCACGTCTTCTGAAAGGAACGTATATTAATTGGTGCTTTTTTCTAAACAGGCGATGACAGCCTTCTGCAAATTCTGAAACAGAGGTGGTGGAAGTATATTTTTTTGGGACTGGCTGATGTTGAAGCTAATTACATGATTGTAAAAGCATACCAATACACAACCCTTACAAGTGTGCAGGTAAGGACCAATCTCCCTTTCTGGATTCTTGCTTTTCTTACAGTTTTGGACTGGTTTCTGAAATGAGATTTCATAGGACAGACATAGAAGCTATGTAAATCTGAAAAAACTTGTCAATGTCTATTTTCTTTTTGCAATACAGAGAAGAGCATTCTGCATCATGAATAACATTTCCAGGAAGCAGAGAAAATTGGCTCGTATTACCCAGCGCTAGCTCTTGAGTTGAACTCTTTAAGTATTTTTGAGAAAAGCACTTCTAAGAGTTTGCTGACAGCTACTTAATTTTTTTTTGATGGTGCAGAATAAAGATTTAGGACCAGATAACACTTACTCAGCCCAGGTTCTTGCTGCTGTCGGCATAGCACATCTCTTGCCTAGCGCTAGAAACTGTGGGAGGCACGGCGAGATGTAAGCCCACGTGCGAGGAAATACTGGAAGTCAGCTGGTGTTTCAGACCGATGCAGCGAGGGGGCCAGGCCTGTGACTTTTAGATGTGGCGCTTCCTTTCTGATCCTCTCTGTAAGAGGGAAGGGAAATCAGCTTGCCAGGCTCCTGAAGTGACAGTAAACAGCAGCATCCTCTGCAATGCCAGTGGTTGGTGCTGTCTCACTGCATCAGGAAAATCTTGCCTTTGTAAATAGCTCCAGTAGTAGAAAGACTATAGCTTTAGTTTCTTTGTCACTGCATGCAGACGTAAGCTGGCTCTACTGCTGGAAGAGTTAGTGTCCTGCTGCTTCCAACTGCTTGCTCCTAAGCTTGCGTGGCCATCTCCCTTGAGCTACAATACCGCAAACTGGAGCTACAGTACCACAAACTGGCTCAGGGAACTGACCAAGGTTAGAGAAAACTCCGTCTTCTGCCGGCAAATTGGTAAGCCGTGTCGGTTCCCTGACTTAGCTCACTGTGTGGGTCCACAGCTGCTTTTGCCAGAGCAGGAGAAGGGACAGTGCAGAAGCAAGAACTGAATATTTCCGTATCTACGCTGGCTTGTGTTCCCTCTTCCTGAGTGTGGATCTGTGGCTTGGTTTCTGGTCCCACTTACTCGAATGGAAGAATAACGTGCATACAGAATTTGCTGTTAGGTGAAAAGGAGTGTTTAGGTATCAAGTGATTCACAAAGTGATAAGGGTTGATATTTAAAATAAGTACCTGAAAAGCAGCAAACTTCTGTGGTCTGGGCTCCCTTCAGAGAACCGCAATGAATTTCCCTTGCACTGTTTAAAGAACAGTAACATATGCCTGATGGATTATCATTGTCACGTTTTCCCAGTTCATACTTACATATTATGGCTCATTAGGCTTTTAATTTACTTATGAGTAATATCTAAGAAATTATACTTTTAACAGTGACATATTTCTGTCTCAAGACCAAGTTAAGCTGATATCTGAAGCTTTGTTTGATCGTATGCTTCACAGCTGAAGAAGACAGGACTGTAGTCCAAATTCTCAGAAAGAACAAAGCTATTCCTGTGACTTCTTCCATAGATATTCAGAAGGAATAGGTACACTTGGTCTTCTTGTCCAGGCATCAGACTCAGGCGTTTGCTGAACCTTCTTCTCACGTGATAACTTTCAGACTGATGCCTCTTTAAGTGTCTATTTGGTATTATGAATTTTGTTGTAACTGGCTGTTGCTGTAAGGTTTCTTGCATATCCCATGAAGTAACCAGTTTGCCACCGCTGTCAGAAATAAAATTCAGGACAAAAAGGCCTGTGATTTGCTCCAGTAAAAGGCAGTTGCTCTCTGCCAGCAGCAAGCAGATCTGCAATTCCATTAGTGTGTAAGAATGGCCATCTTGGCTCAGAGCATCTGGCCTGATATTCTGTCTTCGACAGTGGCTGTAAATGGATGCCCAGGATGCATAACAGCACGGCAGGAGTATATCACACCTTTTCTGAGCATGGTGTGATCACTGTTGAAATGCTGGCTGGCTGGAGCTTCAGCTCCGCCTCATGCTTTTCTTCAAAGAAAAGTTTCCGCTCAGCAAGGAACTTCCATGTATTTTTGCACACGTGCAAAAGAAACAAAAACAATTTTCCTCTAGTTCTCGAATGTTATCATTGCAAGGAAGGGTTCGGGAGATTTTTATAGAGATAACATTGAGATGGCAACTCTCATTTCTCTGCAGATAAAGAAGAAGGTCTCTGGTCCACAGCTGCAGCTCTTTATTGAGCTCTGGTTGAGACAATGCCAGGGGGACTTCTCACTGCGAGACGTATGTTTCGGTCTTAGGACAGGACTTGACTGGGCTGTTTGTTCCCTGTACTGCGTTTCACCACATATTTCATAGCACAAAACAAGCAGTGTGGTTCCACGTTGTTACCCTGTTATTAGGCACAGTTAGCGTTTGCTCGTTGCACCTTTCAGGTGGGGGCGTTTAATGGGCAGCTGTTGACAGAACATCAGTCCATACAAGACTATTAACCACAGCAGGAGAAAAGGGAGCGTGTGCCCCTGGAGCGCAACGGAGGCTGCCCTGTGGGAGCCGTGCAGAGAAGCAAACGGGATGAGCTACTGAGCTTTTTTGCTCTCTAAGCTGTCTGGAGCTGGCAGCTGTGAGCAAACTAATGACCTCTAGCAATCTATGATAATTGCTTAACCATTCATTAAAACATCTGTTAATAATTTACTACCATTAAGGCCTTCCTACAAGCAGGGTGGCTGAAACCTGGTTTGAGTCAAAATGTAAATCAAACGAACAGGCGAACAGGTTATCTTTTTTTCCCCCATGTAAAATGCAAGGCAGAATTGAATGAGATGAGAGTTTGCTGATGCTGTACTGGCACTAGCAATTGGTACCTAGCAGTACTGCCATAAATATCCTAAAGCCTGAGTAAATCTTCTTTTAAATGGTTCCATTGACATAAATTGATTGTGACATTACAGTTGTTTGGTACCTCTTTGATCTTGATCCTACACAGAAGAGAACTCTTTGAACCTAGTAGATGAGGACAAGGCAAGATCCAGTAGTTGGAAATCAGATTTCTTTTGTCTGCAATTGAGGGTAATTGTCCCTTGGAACAGATTACCAGCGTAAATTCTTCATCATCTGGGGCCTGTCTGTCCTGAATGTGAGTCTTCTAACCAGGGTGCTGTAGCTCTACAGTATATTGTTAGTCCAGATGCAGCAATCTCCCATCCACTGTTAATGAAAGAGATTGTGGCTCATTATCTACGAGACCCTTACACCCTAATTACGCTTTTTTTTAAGGGTTTTGTTGTACTCTTTTGGTTTGAAAAACTGCTTGGAGGTTAGAAGGCTACAGGGTAACATCTCAATAAATGGGGAAGTGAAATTTTACTTATTAATAGCGGATGATATGTCTACTGCCAGGGGGATGAACATTTTCCTTTTTTATTTTTGCAGTGTTTCTTAGCTTCAGTGATTACGATTTCACACCAGAGAAATTTTTGTTTAAGACTCAGCACTTTCAAGTGTGTTTCCTTACTCGGAACAAACTGATTGAGACCAAAGGTGGACAAACAGAGTTATGAGAGCTAAATCATGCATTTTGATGAAACAGATAAATGACACTTCTCAGCTGATACTAGAAAAAACAAACACATTTAGGGGAAATATTAAAATGTTTTTAGTCTAGATGAAAGAAAAGAGAGAGAAAGAGGCCTGTGATCAGATAGAAACTCGTAGCATAATACTCTTCCAATAGAGCAAAGCTATATTGAAATACATGGTACCACATATTAGGACTTGTGTAGTTCTGATATCTCCTAAAACAGCCTAGGTAAGTGCCTGTGCTTTTACACAGACTTTGCAAGTGAGGCAAACTGGACACAGTCTGGGGAACACGGACAAATAGATGGAAGGATTAGAGGGCACCATTAGGACTGAACCTGTAGTAACTTCCCTTACTGCTGTCCTGGTGACGCTTAATATGTGTAGTTATGAACAGGTAAAAATAGGCTTATCATGACAGTTTTACAAGTTTGATTAAAGTCCTTGTAAGTGATGAATGAACTAAGAGAAGTAAGCACAGGAGAAAACTGAAAAGTGGTGCATTTAGACAGGCAGAAGTTAGCAGTGAAGTACTGAGGACTATTATCTCGATTGTAACAATTATGCCATGGTCCTGTTGACCTGGCCCTGATACTTCTATAGTGACTTCAAAAGGCCAAGTTTCAAGGGTTGACATTTAAGAGTAATTTGAGAGCAGTCTTTGGAAGGCTGACTATATGTTCCACTGTAGGCTGTTCCCTTATGTATTTTCATGAAACTCTACTGAGGCAGGCCAGAAAATAGGCCTTTTTTTCCCCCAGAAAAATTCAGTTTTATTGAATTAAGTATTAAAACCAGTTATGATTAGCTCAGTGTTCTTTGTGTTATTTGATTATTCTAGAACCTTGTGTCCGTTTTTTTACTGCACCCTATTTTTCTTTTATGTATACAGCTGAGACTTGATTTGCTGTAATAAAGGAGAATAGGTAGAACATTTGTGGGTTTAAACAGAAAGGCAAAGATAGTATGGAGATTACATACATAACAGTTTAGCAACGTGCGGAGGTGGGTGATGGAGAAACGGAAGAGAAGCTGATGTCACCTTAGCCGATAAGTCTACTCAGGGCAGTGCCCATAAACATGTCTGAAGTGCTTCTGGATTCAGGCTGTCTTGTGTGTCCTTGCTGCTGTGGCATGGACAAATTACAGGGTAAATTACCCACTTCTGACTAATTTGGAGTCAGCTGTAATAGAGTAGTGGACTGAAAGTGCACTGATGCATTGTGCATGATTTTGTGGGAAGCTGGAACATTGGGAAGGTGACCTTAGGAAAGCTGTTCTCTCCCTCCTGTCTTCCTGCCATCTACTTTGCATGTTTCTTCCATGTACTGGTTTTTTTTTTCAGTAGGACCCATGTGGGGGGAAAGAAAGCCACATACAAAACTTCAGGGTCAGATTATTGTCTCAGTCACTTTATGATGGAGAGTTAGATTAGCTGTATTCTTTAATAGTTCCAGATTTGCACATTGTGTAAACTCAGCCCTAAATTCTAATTACAGTTTTAAAGAGGAGCGAAAGGATGAGCTAGCAGAGAAGCACAGCTGAAATCTGTTAAGAAAGGAAAGACAAAACCTGATGGAAAAAATGAAGTGTCAGTGAACCACCTCCTTGTATTAGTGTCGTGGGGAGCAAGGTGGGCTCCGTGCAACATCCTAGCGCTAATTCGTGAAGCTGCGCAAATTGATTAGATCCCTCATGAGAAGAGTTTCTAGATCAGTGAGTTTCTAACAGGAGAGAGTGAAGCCCCCCCAACCCGCCCTTCAGTTGCAAAAAGCTTTTCATGGTAAAATGTGGGTCTGACCCTTCTTCTGTTTAAACTAGTCTGTTGGGGTTGTTTTGTGCCTTTCAATAGGCTAACGTCTGACAGCAGTGGAAGGTAAGGTCCCGTATGTTTGCTTTCGGGATAGTGATATGCAGGTTTGGGGTGGTTTTCTAATTAAAATCATTTCTCTGTACACACAGCTGCTGGATTGTTTTGGGATTCCTGTGCTGATGGCTTTATCATGGTTCATTCTCCGGGCAAGATACAAACTGATCCATTTTATTGCCGTTGCTATCTGTTTGCTGGGTGTAGGAACCATGGTGGGCGCAGACATTCTGGCAGGGAGGCAGGACAGTGAAGGTAAGGAAACCTTTCTCACATGGGGGAAATGCAGAGACGTGGTTCCCATGCTGGTCTAACTTTCAAAGGACAAAGAGGAGCAAACGTGAGGGAATGGATATAGTTTTAATTTAAACAGGGAGAGGAGACGATACACTGCTATTTATATCTCCTGGCCAAGAAGATAGTGGCTGAGGAGATGTCGATTTTATAGGGCGCTGTGAAATTGGTTTGCTTATAGATTTGGATTATTTCTTTCATCTTGAAAGAGAAGCACCTGTGTTAAGCTTGAAGTTTGCTGCTGCTTATTAGCCCTGATGAAAGGCCTCAGACCTGATGATAGACCTTTTTCTTGAAAGCTTGCTCGCTTTTACTAATCACATGACGTGGTCTAACAAAAGATGCTACCTCTCCGTGCAAACCGTGTCTTGCTTACACTCTCGGCCTCCTGGCAGCCAGACTTTTTTGATCTGCAATTCCCTGAAGATTTTCCCTGAGCATGAATAGCAAATCAGAAGTTACTTGGTAACAGGCTAACTTCTTTAAGTTATCTTTTGCAGACCCATAAGAAATAGTCTGTGTATCCCCAAGGTCGGTGGGCCACAGCCAGGAAAGCACTGCCCTGGGATGGTAGAGCTGGATGAAGACGTGGGCAGAACGCAGGGACATGCTGGGGCCTCCCAGAGGGAGCCTGGGTGCCTGCACCCAACGGCGCATAGGTTAGGGCTGGCCTCATCTTCTCTTCTCTATGCCAGAAGCCCAAATCAGGCCACATCACGGTGATGTTATTTCGAACCCGAGTGGCTATACGGGGAGGAACGTAGCATTGGCTTCATTGGACAGCATAGGGATAAGCTCGTTTAGCTTTACTGTGGGACGCGTACTGCAGCATGACAAACTGAGGTTTAGCACCAATGCTGAGAGATACAAGTATGTCAGAGTCCTGAGGGAGAAAAATCTTCCCCTGAGATTTTAGGACAGTTGTGGTTTATTCACTGACGTGAGTATCCTTAATATGGCTTTCCCTCGCATTCCAGGCATATCTCCTTCGTGGCTGCCAGCTCACTTAGACAAGGAAATTTTAAATCAATTCAAGGACTTAAACAGCTTGCCTTGCTATTGAGCGGGTGCGTAACAGCATTTTCCTGATGAGTGACTGTGTTACAGGGAGTCCCATTAGCACGATATAAATATATTGCACGATACCTGATACCACACATCTGCAGCACCTGCTTAAGAACTGTTGTAAACGTGAAGCTCAGTCCAGCTCCCACAGAAATCAATACATTGACTTTGGCAAGACTTGAATTAGGCCTTAGTGCCAAAGCAAGAGCGGTGGTCTGAAAGCAGGCTGCACCGCTAACCTGGAATTCCTCTCGAGTTCCCGAAACGCCTGACGGCAGGAGCAGCAGCGAGACCTGGAGCAAACCCAAAAGGAGCGTCTTGGTCAGGATGTGATTTAAATGTGAAGTTTTGCCCATCCTGCGATCTGCAGGGGTGATGCAAGCCGTTAGCAGCGTTAGTGTTCAGGCAGCAAGCAACTGGTGTGCTGTTACTCATACAAGAGATGTTTCCTTTCCCCTTACCCTGAGAGGTGCTAGAAAGATAGAGATGTTTGGGATGAATTTGCTTGTCTTTTTAAGGAAAGTTGAAAAGTGTTTGCAGCATCACCCTTATTGTGGATTAATATTTCTGTACAGGAAGTGACGTGGTGATTGGAGATGTCTTAGTTCTTCTTGGTGCTTCTTTGTATGCCATTTCTAATGTGAGTGAGGAATACATTGTGAAAAATCTGAGCAGAGTGGAGTTTCTAGGAATGGTGGGCTTGTTTGGGACTATTATCAGCGGTCTACAGCTGTAAGGATCTAATATTTATTTTAAAATTAATTAAGAATATTCTGTGGATGATTACTTGTGTACCATGAAATGACATTGTTATTATTAAATTAATTCTTTGCTAACTCTGCATTTGGCTTGTATGGGAGTCCTTTCATTTGAATTCTATTTTTGTTGCTGCGCAGCATCCATTTTATACCTTTTTTATTTGTTCTGCCTTATAACAGCAATTCTAAAGCTCAAATCCAGCAAATTGAATACCTATCATACTTGCCTGTGTTTTTGATTTTATTGACCCTCACAAGGGCACTTAGTAGGCTGAAGATTGTTCGCAGGAATGTGTTTCTTAACGGGCTTTTCTCTGTGGAAAGGTTTTGGACATAATCATTAGCAAGATAACTTCCATATTAAACTTAAGCTTAAAATGAAGCATGTATACTCTTACAAATAACCATGTTAGAGGCCACATGCACTTAAGTCTATCTAAAGAATTTTATGTTTCTCATTTCTCATCATTATAGTTAATCATTTCCTCAAATGATAGTTCAAATAGAACTGAATCTCTGAACAATGAAAAAGCCTGGAAAGAAGGCATAAGAATTAAATAAAAGTGCTCTTGACTTTCCAGCACTTGAATTCTCAAGTCTTTTTTTCATGCTTGTTAGACATTGGAGTTATTATTTAATAAAAATTCAAACAAAAATTTCAGGGATTATAAATCAAAATCTTTCTTATATATTCTAGTAATTACATTATCTGTCTGAATACTTTTTTTTTTTTACTATATGATATCTTTTCTTTAACTCTAGAGCCATTGTGGAACATAAGGACATAATGAAAATTCAATGGAACTGGAAGATTGGTATGTTTATGACAAAATGAGATGTGTTTTTGCCGAACACTGGAAAAACTGATAATCATTTAGACCTAGAATGGTTGTTTTTTTTCACTTTCTTTTTCTGTATATTAAATAACAACGTTCATGTTACATTGTCACAAATGAATGTATTTTCTGCAAACTCTGCAACTTAGTAAAGAGATAAGATGTGCAGGATGCCTGGTTTAGAACATCTGAGGAATATCAATCTTTAAAACCATTGTTTAGTGCCTTTACACTAAAATATCATCTTTTTTTTTTTTACAGCATTACTGTTCGCAGTATTTGCCCTGTGTATGTTTGGACTGTATAGCTTCATGCCAGTAGTGATTAAAGTTACTAGTGCAACCTCAGTCAACTTGGGCATTCTGACTGCAGATCTCTACAGTCTTTTCTTTGGACTTTTCCTGTTTTTCTATAAGGTAAGTAACTTCATTCATTCATTATAGTTTTGGTTAAATTCTAACTCCAAAACTATTAAAACATCATAATGTTCTTATTAGCCCCTCAAAACTGTTTTCAGTTTTAAATTTGTACAGCTTGTATCATTCATCACTGTCAGATGTCAATTAGAAGGACATACTTAATTAATTACATAGCATTGCATCATTAGGTAGTTAGTGATTGTAAAACAAGTCCATCTTTCCTGGAATAAGTTAGAGTTAACATTAGAGACAGTAAATAATTTACTGGGGATTGAAATGATAGATTCTTCTTTTAATCCCTATTTGGAACTCCATAGAGTTTGTATATGTTAGATTTGGTTCATCTCTCCCTTACAAACAGGGGGTTTGAATCCAGCTGTCCTGAAATGATTTTGCTGTCTGAGGGAGTAGTGGCTTGATTTGATTTTCAGAAATTAATATTTTATTTTACAGATTTAATTTGTTTATCACAAATGTCTTGGGAGAAGAATCAAGCTCTCAGTACTGCTTCTGGGAGAAACGAAAGGAACTGAAAAAAATGCAGATAAATATATTATTCTGTATGGTCTGCAAGAGGCAGTTATTTTGATTACTCTCTAAAGTCTTTTCTGAGGTATCTATTGAAGCTAAATGACAGTGCTAAAAAGAGTTCATTCGGACCTACCCTTTTCATCCAGAATCATTTGTGGGAACCAAGCTCATTGTAGCAATTGGAGTAATTGAGTTGTGTAATGACTGGAAGGGCTTAGTGAGAAGCTCGTGAACTTTGCTTAAGATGCTTAATTTGTATTATTCCATGTGATTGCTTTCTCTTCAGCATTATGGAAAGCCAGAAGCTTTTATGTCAGCTTTGTTTCTGAAAGTGAAGGCCAATTTATTTTAGGATCCAATTTTGGGCTGGATTTTCCTTTGCGAGATAGTCCTAGCTATTAACTTTCCTCTCCGTTTTTGGTTCTAAAATTTACTCCAAGCTACCACTCCAAACTACAAAGCGTCTATTAAAAATGAATATAGGAAACCATAGTTACATTATAAAAATTAAAAAAGTCATTTCTCAGTCCCTTCCAGTAACTCATTTTAGCACCAGCTAGCTCAAATTTTAACTCAAGAAGTGATTAGACAGCTGTATCTGTAACAGTTAATATGAAGAAATAGGCAAGAGCTTTGGAAGGGTTATAGACAAACTTATAATCTGTAGGATTTAAACTTATTTTGGGGAGAGATTTTCCTGGGAGCAGATCATTCCATAATTACTGACTGCAAGGTGTTTTGGTAGCAAAAAGGAAAAATAAGTTAGGGAAGATTTTGGGCCTGCATTATGAAAGAATTTCAGCTTTATATTAAAATATGAGTGACTAAAAAGACCCAGTGAGAAGTGAGAGAAATGGCTAAATGACTTTGATGCAAGTTAATTTAATTCTTTTATTTGAATCTTCACATGACAAGATGGAATGAGGGGTATTTGAAAGTATTGTATGTTTTTCATGGGAGACAGAGGGGATAATGAACTACCACACTAAATATTCAAGAGAAGGCTCTCTGGAGGAGGACAGCTCTCCTAGCATGAACTTGCACCTGCAGTTAGAAACAATCAAGTAACAAAAAAGGGAGCAATAATAATGCAACATCTGTAGTAATCAGGATCTGAGATAACTTAGGAACCAAGAACTCAAGAGAGCCTGAGTCTTGCAGGGCTTCTAGTACTACACTTAGCAGTAAAAAATATTGCCAAGTTACCATATAGTTTCTTTCCTTCTTGGGCAAAAACACCAGGCAGGGCATTTCCTGGATTAGAAAGTGTGCTGGATGCAGGAATCTGCAAACAAAAATGCAAGGATTCGCTCTCTACTCTTCTTCAGTGAGGAAAGATTTACCCATTACCAACTGGTATTTCACAGTAAGCCACTCAAGGCTTGGCTAGGCTGCAGAGTGGAAGGAGCTGAGCTGCGGAGAGCTCTGAGTTGCTATTTGAGCCTGCTCTGAAACAAAAGCAGCACAAACACGTCGTGGTGCTGCAGAGGTTGGGCCCGGGCACGCACGAGCTCTTAGCTTGAGTGCAGTATCTTGTTAATGCATTCAGCTTCACAGTCCCAAATGAGTCTGCTTAAGGCGAAATGTGAATTTGGCATAACTGCCTCAATGAACTTCTTTTCTTCTTTTACTCTGTAGCTGATCTTTGCTATGCTCGCTCCTGGGGAGCTCATATTTAGATGACTGGTGTGAAGAAATATTACATTCCTGTTTTGACAAGGTGCTGCGAGTCCTTAGTTGCCACTGGAGTTGGTAAAATCTTGGGTTCCTAGCCCTTTAGGATGCTTCAGAACGCAAGTTCAACTCATAACTTCATTTGTCCTTATGTGCTGGTTCAGCTATACAAAAACTGTGGGACGTGATGGCACGTGTGCAAGAATAACTAAGAGGAAGAACCCCTCAAGGCATCTTAAAAAAAGGGTCTTCAAG